GACTGTCATTGCTTGGGGTCTCTCCCTGGAGCGGTGAGTGCCTAGCTGGAACTTAGGATGGTTCCATCAACTCATTCATTCATGTGTTCATTTCTCTGACAGTTCTGTAGTAGGAATGCCAAGTTCTGTGCCTTGCCCGGAGCTGCGAACACTGTGGTGTGTTTCCCCAGTGCTCTGCAGCATGGATCCTAGTGGAAACGGAAGGGTGACTAATATGGGCAATAAGGAGACAGAAGACCAGAGTGTTAGTGGACAGGAAGTGCTATAGAGAGGACAGAGCAAGTCTTAGATGGGGTGATCAAGGAAGCTTCACGGACGCTGAGGAGCAGTGAGGCCTCTGCAGGGTGTACCAGTCAGCAGGCACAGCCAGTACTCAGGCTCTGAGGCTAGACTAAGAGTGAACAAGGGAAGAATGGAAGACAGGGCCAGTAGTAAGACATGTTGTCCACCATTGGGGGTAGACATTCTGAGAAAGATGGGAGCCTCTGAGAAGCAGAAGGTAGCCTGATCTGACTTAGTGTTAAACCCTGTTTCTTCCACTCTCAGCCCAACAATGATCAAATACGGCATCAATAACATCCGAGAGCTGGTGGGCCACAAGGTGAACTTGCAGATGGTATACGACAGCCCAGTGTGCCGACTGGATATTGAGCCCAGGGCCTCAAAGACACAGGATGCTGCATGAGAGAGCCTGCCCCAGAGATCCCTGTCCAGTCCCTTGCATCCTCCAGCAGTGACCTACTATTTATGAGGCCTCTGTGAGGCCAGCTCACTCCCTCTGCCTCACCCACCCCAGGGGCAGGGTTCTAAGTATGGGGAGCAAGTTTTTTGTGCTGGCTTTAGTGGTGTTTGTGGTTTTCACATTGTAAGGGTGGGTTTGGGACCTACAGGTCAGTTGCTTTAATAAAATAGGCACGTTCCCTTGTGTGGTGCCTTTTGTTAAGACTCTGTTGTCATTTGTTTCATTAGACGACTCGTGGGAGTTGCCTCACTCCCTGCTCCATGCAGCCCTCAGTGCGGAGAGAACTGGGAGATGGGTCCTGGTGCGCAGTTAGGAGACAGGGCTTAGGTGGTCTGCGATCCTAAAAGGTCCCAGTCAGCTTGAGCCAGCTCCATGCTCAGTTGAGCGTTTATTGTTAATGGACGTGTGTGTGTCTGCTCAAGTACATATGGGAAACGGTCTTGAGTCCATCCTTAGGAACACTGCCCATGTCCTTTAAGACAGGGACTGTCATTGGCCTGGAAAGTTAGGCAAGGGTGTCTGACATGATCCAGAGACTTTCCTACCTCTACCTCTAAGATTATAAATGCACTTCCTGTCTTGAACGTAGATTTTGTGGATTGAACTCACGTAGCAAGCACTTACTGATGGAGCCACTCTGTAGCCCCTGGCACTTACTAATCACTGACTGGTTCGCCGGGCGGTGGTGGTGCACGCCTTTTTCTGAGTTCGAGGCCAGCCTGGTCTACAGAGTGAGTTCCAGAACAGCCAGGGCTATACAGAGAAACCCTGTCTCGAAAAAAAAAAAAAAAAAAAAAAAAAAACAAAGAAAAAAAAAAAGGCTTGGAACAGAAACTCCTCTTGGTAAAAAAACATTTAGTAGGTGATAGCCTAAAAATCCAGGATTCCCAAGATTGATGGGAACAAGAGACTATGGGTGAGAAGCTGCTCTTAATTTTCCCCTAAAAATCAAATCTCCCAGCAGCCGAGGCAGGGCAATCATGAGTCTGAGGCCACCCTGGGCCAAAAAAAAAATTAAGTTCTCAGAGCTTTGTGTCTTTACTTTTCATCTTGCTTTTTTGGGGGCTGATTTCAGATGGGCTTTGGCTCTTGGGTGTTTAGGTGGGTTTTTTTTTTTTTTGGATTGTTTTTATCTTCATGTGTATAGTTATTTTGTCTGTATGTCTTTTTTCTTAATTTTTTTTTTTTAGATTTAAATTATTTTTTTGTGTATGAGTGTTTTGTACCATGTGCATACCTGTTGCCCAAAGAGGTGGTGAGCTCCTGAGTGGGGCTGGGAATTAAACCTGGGCCCTTTACAAGAACAAGTGCTTTTTTCTTTTCTTTTCTTTTTTTAAAAATCTATCTATCTATCTATCTATCTATCTATCTATCTATCTATCTATCTTTTTTTTTAAAGAACAAATGCTCTTACCCACTGAGCTAACTCTCCAGCCCTGTGTCTTTGTACACATGAGGGTCTGTTGCCAGAAGAGGGCATTAGATCTCCTAGAACTGGAGGTGGACTGCTGTGAGCCAGCATGTGGGTACTAAGAACCAAACCTAGGTCCCCTGGGAAAGCAGCATGCGCTTGCAACTGCTGAGCCATTTCTTTGGCCCCCAAATGTATATAGTGTCATAGCGTTTGTGTGGGGGTCAGGGCACAGCGTTCAGGAGTCAGTTCCCCTCCTCCATAGGTTCTAGGGCTGGAACTCTGTAGTTTTTATTCACAGAACTACCTTGCTGGCCCTGATTCTGGCCTTTTTGAAAGTGCCCTGTACTTGTTGTTTTTCAAGACAGGGTTTCTCTGTGTAGCCCTGGCTGTCCTGGAACTCACTCTGTAGACCAGGCTGGCCTCAGATCCACCTGCCTCTGCCTTCCAAGCACTGGGATTAAAGGAGTGCACCATCACTACCCAGCAGCACATTTTAAAATTCATTTAATTTGGGCTTTGTTAAACAAAACACTATGTTTGAGGCCAGAGAGATGGCTCAGCAGTTAAGAGAGCACTGACTGCTCTTCCAGAGGTCCTGAGTTCAATTCCTAGCAACCACATGGTGGCTCACAAGCATCTTTCTTCTAGTGTGTCTGAAGACAGTGACAAGATACACACACACACACACACACACACACACACACACGTCAGGGCTGGTGAGATGGCTCAGCGGTTAACAGCACTGGCTCTTCCAGAGGTTCTGAGTTCAATTTCTAGCAACCACATAGTGGCTGGCAACTATCTATAAAGGGATTTGATGCCCTCTTCTGGCATGTAGGTGTACATGCAGACAGCACTCATACATTAAAAAAAAAAGAAAAAAGAAAAAAAAAACACAACAACAACAAACCTAATGACTCCCCACAACCTCCTCACCTCCCAAGATAGGGTATCACTATAGCCTAGGCTGGCCTCAAAATGCAAGATTCTTATGCCTCAGTCTCCTAAGTACTGGGATTATATAGGTTTATGTCACTACACTTAAGGTGTTTTCTAGATGGGGTTTCTCTGCGTAGCCCTGGCTGTCCTGGAACTCACTCTGTAGACCAGGCTGGCCTCAGATGAGCCTGCTTCTGCCTCCCTACCGCTGGGATTAAAGCTGTGCACCACCACAACCCAACAGCATTTAGTGTGTTGCCTCCTATCAAGAAATTTATGGTATGCCAGTTGTTAATTTTTACAGTGTTTACAACTGTTTTAGTTTTTAATCACTGCAGTAAAATTGGGATATATTTTGAGAGTTTCATTTTTTTAGCTGGGTTTGGTGTTACCCACCTTGAATTAGCACTGGGAGGGGGGGCAGAAGGAGGCTGATCTCTGAGTTTAAGGCGCTAGCCTGGTCTTATGGAACTTCCAGGACAGCCAGGGCTACAGAGAAACCCTTGCGAGACAGAAACAGACAGACACAGAGAAAGCAAACAGAGGGAACCCTGAGTACATAGAGTCCATCCTGAATGTGTATTTTGATGTAGGCACAGGAATCCAAGGCCAATTGACCCATGGGAAACCTGTCTAATCAATTACCTATATGAACCAGGCTCAAGAGTAATGGCAAAACTTTCCCCCAAAGTTCCAGAATGATTGTTTAAGGATAATTAACCAGTCTGTGCAAAGACTAGCAGATCTGGCTTCCTCTCCTGATGTTTGCAGGCTAGGATTGCTCATCCACAGATTCCTCCAACCAGGACTAGCTGTGCTATATCTAGTAGATAGCAGAGGCTCCAGGTTGCAACCATAGCATTAAAGAACCCCACCTGATCCCAGCTTCACTGTGTGTTCTTTCTTCGTTCTCACATAGCCAGTGTTAGGGTTGGAAAAATGGATCAAAGGTTAAGAACTGGTTGAGCCTGCAGAGGACCAAGTCTAATTTTAAGCACCATATGATGGCTCACTATTGTAATTCCAGCCTCAGGGGCTCTGAATCTCTTCTGGCCGCTGTGGACACTAAGCACCCACGTGGTACAGAAATATATGCAGTCAAAACACCCATACCCATAAAAAGTATATTAAAAAAACATTTAAAGATGAGATCCCTCTAGATGGCTCAGTGAGTACAGGCACTTGCCTGATCTGATGACCTGAGTTCCATCTCCGTGACCCGCAAGGTGGATGGCACATGTGCATCCACAAAATAGGTCAAATGTAAAACAAAAATGAAACACAGAGCTTGTCGATTAAAAGCATCAGGGAACAGGAATTTAGTTCCCATTATCCATATCAGGAGGCTTATAACCAGGGGATCTGATGCTCTCTTCTGGCCTTTACTGGCAGATGCCCAGGAGTAGTTTAAATAATATACAACATGTAAATAAAATAAAAAATGAAGGTTGTCACTGGCCTTGGTGGTGCCTGCCTTCAATTCCAAGGCAGAGGCAGGCTGATCTTTGAGACTTCCAGGTGAGTCTGGTTTAAAAAGTCCTAGGCCGGAACATAGTGGGAGCCTGTTCCAAAAGAATTTGAGCAGTGCACTGGTGGTGCAGACCTTTAATTTCAGCATTCTAGACGTAGGAGGGTCTCTCTGAGTTCGAGGCCAACCTGATCTACAGAGCTAGTTCCAGGCCAGTCAGGGATACACAGAGAAACCCTGTCTCGAGAAGACACTTCCCGCCCAAACTGTAGATCGAAGAGGCGGAACTCTGATGTAGTGTGAAGTCAGGTGACCCCGCACATGCGCACTCTGAGCTCAGAAACCCACGGGCCGCACAACACAGATAAGTCTGTCACAGCGCGCAACCCCAGCAGCGCCTGTTCGAAGGGCCTTCACGTTCGCCGCCTTTGGGGGGCGGGGCCCGGGCGCACTTCATTCAGCACGTGCTCGGGGCGTGGTGTGCGGAGGGCGTGGCGTGCGCGGAGGGCGCCGAGGCGGGAAAAGACGGAATGGAGCGCCAGGGAGTACGTGAGGCGCTGGATTCCCGTGTGTGGGCGGCGGGCGGGGCTTGACCGAGACTTCCTCTACACACTCGAACCCGGGGCCGGTTCCCCACGGTTGGAGCCGCCTCTTGTCAGGAGAGGCGAGGTTTCTTGCCTAACCGCTGGGGCCTGGGGGACAAGGCTGTGAGGCGGTGCGCTACAGGAGCCGGGCGAAGACAACTCGCTGTAGACCAGGCCCGGCCTCGAACTCGAGCGGTCGCCTGTCCCAGCCTCCCGAGGCCGGGGAGGGATTCGAGGCGTGAGCCACACGGCCTACTTTTATTACTATCCGCGGGAAGGTCTTAGCGCGCCCTCCCCTGCCGACCCCAGGGCCCGACCCTCCCGGCTAGGCGTCCCCACTGAGGTTCCCACCCCGCCTCTCAAGAGCTGGCTGTGCTCGCAGGTGGCCGTGCCTCCCGTGGAGTTAAGGGACCAGGAACCGCCGGCGATTGTGGAGAGCGGAGAGCATCAGCAGAATGAGAACCACGAGGAGACGCCTACCTCAGTGGCCCCGAGGTGAGGAGTGACAGGCCCAACTGCTCTTCCCGGACTCCGGGGCCCCTGCGTTGACCACGGAGTTCATTCCACGAGGTCTGCCCTTGGCCTCGTTCCACGGGCGACTTAACACCTTCCAGGTGTGATGTTCTATGAAACGGTAGCGGTGAAGCGATGCCCCTTGGCAGACCCGGCCTAGGTGTCCTCGTGAGGAATCAGCCATGAGACAGACCTAATACAGAGAAAGTTTATTGGTGGAGGAAGAAAGAGGAGGGTAGAGAGAGAGCGCGCCTGAAAGAGGGAGAAAATGGAAAGATGAAGAGGGCTAAAGAGGGGAGATGGAGAGAAAGAAGAGAGGGGGAGGAGGGACAGACAGAAGAGGGGAGGGGAGAGAGAGATTGCTGGAGAACGAACTCTTGAGTGTTCAAGCCATAGCCAAATAGTCCTGTATGTGAGCCAGGCTCTTACCTGGCTGTTGCTAGGTCAACGTTGGGCAGAGCCTAGAGGAAATTCTAACAACAGGTGCCCACAATGGTTCTGGGTACTAGAGTCCTCCTTTTGATATCCACAGGATTTGATTTCAGGATTCCCTCCCTGACTGAAGCTAGATCTACAGCTCAAGTCCCATATGTCATACTGCATAGCATCCTCATGTTCAGACTCATGTGTCTTGTGCCCCCCCCCCTTTAACATTTATTTAGTAAATGTTCACACATTTGGAAGTCAGGGCTTAGTGAATGGTGAACATGTGGAAGTCAGAGTTGGACCGTGTCGTTCTGGGATAGCAGCAAAATGCCCTGTTCTCTGAACCATGTCACAGGCCTGCTTGTGTAGACTTATTTATTTAGATTTATTTTATGTGTGTAAAACCTGAATGTGCGTATGTGCAATGTGCATGCCTGCCTGGTGCTTATGGAGGTCAGAAGAGGATGTCAGATCCTCTGCAACTCAAGTTCTGGATGGTTGTGAACCACCATGTGAATTCTGTTACTGTCAAGTGCTCTTACCTGCTGAGGTCTCTCAAGGCCTAGTCTTAGTATGTAGGCTTGGCTGGCGTGGACCTTACAGAAATCTGCCAGCGTCTGCCTCACAAGTGCTAGGATTCAAGGCTGGTTATGAATACTATGCTTGATAAAAATCAAAATCTTTTTTCAAAATAAAAGTAAGCGCCATGTCCTCAGCCCCTCTTCTAAGTTTGACTTGTGATTTGAATCCATGGATGATTCAGATAGGGATATGAAAGCACACCGGGTAGCATGATACGAGGAAAAACTGAGGAGACAGTAATGGTGACTTGATTTCCCTTCAAGGTCATAGCAGATTTCCTGGAGAAGGCAAAGAGTAAGTCACTTGGTAAGGAAGCCACTACTCCAGATAGAGAGGAACAGCTAGTGTACAAGCATGCAGGATTACTGAACAGTGAAGGTTAAAAGGGAGGTAGTAAGAGACACAATTAGGCTGGGCAGTGGTGGCACACGTCTTGAATTCCAGCACTCAGGAGGCAGAGGCAGATAGAAGTCTGTGAGTTTGAGGACAGCCTGGTCTACAGAGCTGGACAGGATAGCCAGGGCTACACAGAGAAACCCTGTCTGGTTGAGACGGGGGGTGGGGGGGGATTAGACCTTTCCTTTCCATTCCTCTCCCTTTTCTTTCTTCATTGGGGCCTTAGATATCCTAGGATGACCTCAAACTGGTAGCTAAGATGACCTTGAATTTCTGAACTTTCTGCCCCCTACCTCCCTACTAGGATTATAGTTTATGCTGCCACACCTGGTTTATACCAGTGCTTGAGGTTGAATGCTGGGCTTTGTACATGCTAAGAAAGCACTTTAACAACTGAGTTATATCTCAGGCTTTGCAGTCAAGACTTTAGATGCCTCTGAGACTCTGTCTCAAAAAAAAAAAAAAATTACCATCTCTCCCTTAATAGAAGTTTGTTCTCTTTGGAAGAAAGTAGTAAAGGGCTCCCCCTGGTTGCTGTAACAAGAAGGAGGATGGGAGTGAGGAGGCAATGGGGAATATCCAAGTAGAAAGTCTTAGTTAGGATTTTACTGCTGTGAACAGACACCATGACCAAGGCAATTCTTATAAGGACAACATCAAGTAACCCTGGTGTTCTAGAACTCACTATGCAGACCAGGTTGGTCTTGAACTCAAGAGATCAGCCTGCTGCTTCCTCCTCAGTGCTAGGTTAAAGGTACTACCATTCCTGGCATTTTGGAATTTAGAATTAAGGATGCTTATTTTGTGTCATGCCATGCAACTCACCTGTAGAAGTGTGTGATTTAATAGCTTTTGGTATATTCACAGAGCCATACAAACATCACTATCCAACTTCAAAATCTTTTCTCATTCCAAAAAGAGATCTCATACCTCCTAGCAATAACTCTCAGTCCTTTCATCTTTCCCCATCCTCTGTATCCATTAATTTGCTTTATGTTTCCATACATTTGTCTATTATGGATATTTCATGTGCATGGAGTCATATGGCATGTGCTTCTTTGTGTCTGGCTTTCTTCATTTGGCATGTCATTTATACCATAGCCTTTGTCAGAACTTAAGTCTTTCTTGTAGCTAAAATTCTATATTATAAATCTATCATATTTTATTTGTTATCAACAGACAAATTAACATTTGACTATATATGTAACAGTACTGTGAACATCCATATGTAAGCTTTTGTGGGAACGTCGCATATGTAGTCTCCTGTATATTCAAATTGCCAGTTCCACATGACATATTTAGCATGGTTCTTGCCTTCCATCTTTATCTGGGTTCTTGGATTGAATTCAGGTCTCCAGCCTTGCATAGGAATAGCTTTTACCTATAGGGCCATCTTGCTGGCCCAGTGTTGGGCTTTGTTTTTGTTTGTTCTTTTCAAATCGTCTCTCATGTAGTCCAGGCTAGCCTTGAACTTGATACATAGCTGAGATTATCCTAAGTTAATGCTGCTCTTCACACCTCCCAGGTTCTGGGATTGCAGGTGTGCGCCACCACTTCAGGCTTGTATCAGGTATTATAAGTCATTCAGGGATGATAGACGTCTACAGATATGGATAGGTTCTCTGCAAATGTTACACCATTTTTCAGAAGGTATATATATGATGAGTACCCACAGATTTAGGTATCTTTTTTTTTTTTTTTTCGAGACAGGGTTTCTCTGTGTAGCCCTGGCTATCCTGAAACTCACTGTGTAGACCAGGCTGGCCTTGAACTCAGAAATCCGCCTGCCTCGCCTCCCAAGTGCTGGGATTACAGGTGTACGCCACCACTGCCGGCTAGATTTAGGTATCTTAATAGGCTCTAGAAGAAAGGAGATTATACTTAGTAGGACCTGCTGAGCCAGAGATGTGACATACTTATTATGTTCCTGTTATAAAAAAGAATGCTGGCTAGATGTGGTGCACAGCTTTAATCTCAGCACTTGGGACAAAGAGGCAGGCAGACCTCTGTGAGTTCAAGGCTGGTTGACATGGGGAGTTCTAGGGCAGATGATGCTATATCACTTGATATAGCATCACCTGAGTAGTGAGACTATCTCAAAAACAAAAAGGCAATAAAAAGGAGACAGGCTCTGGCTACTGTGTAGTGAGTATTTTGAAGAGAGTATAAAGAGAGCTGGATTAAGTTGGGTGTTCAGTATGGGGTGCCATTTAGTAAAACAGATTGGGAAAAAGCCCTTAGGGGAAATGGCAGAAAGGAGATTGTCCCCATCCATGATAAGCTGGAGCTGGCTCCTGCTGGTTTGCAAGAGCTGATTCTTTTGTTTGTTTTGTTTTGTTCTTTTCTTTGAGATAGAGTTTCTCTGTGTATCCCTGCCAGTTCTGGAACGAACTCTGTAGACCATGCAGGCCTTAAACTCAGAGATTCTTCTACCTTTGCCTCCCGAGTGCTGTGGTTAAAGATGAGTGTCACCACTTTGTGGCTCAAGAGCTGATTCTATATATCCCTTTCCAAGTGGGCAAGTTTATGTTAGAAGCTTGATATTGCTAGAATGGGAATATTTGCACAGTGGCACTTGACAGACTACAAGTCAGGGCTTTCCCCATCCCTCGGAGCCAGTAATAAGTAGCTCAGTGCTGCTGCTTTCTGCTGGTTATGGTTTCTCACAGGTGCGGGCTTCTAGAGCCGAGGTGTGAGTATAAGTTTCACTTTACAACCTCCCTCACCACCTTCCTTTTCTTTTTTTCTTTTTTTCTTTTTTTGAGATGTGTTGGATATTGGGATATTTGCACAATTATGTTCAGCCAAGAATTATTTCTAAGCTATAACTTAAAGTGGCGTGATACAGGGACTACTAGGATGCTGTGAGGACTGCTGTTGTGATGACAGTTGTGGACTGGATGAGCTTACTTGAGGCCAGAGTAAGAGGTTCCAGACGAAGCCTGATTCCCCTTTTCTTTCCCGTTTCTCAGTAAGAAAGCAGACTACAGGGCTTTCCAGACCTGTGCTATTAGTCAGAGACAAGAAAATAAGCAGATATAAATGATGAACCATTCATTTGATAAATGTTCTGCAAATGTTAGCATGCTTAGACCAGAATCTCTGTGGTGAAGAGACACAGGCAAAGAAAGCATTTACAGACTTGAAAGACTTCTACCAGAGCCAAAAACCAGATGGTTGAAAATCATCATAGGGACCAGTTAACGGATCCAGCAGCCAACAGTCGGCAACATGATTGAAATATTAACACATTTCTGAAAGGGAGGTGGGTGAGGAGCTAGCTCATCAGCATCCACTCAAACCTTCCCCCTTTCTGGCAGAACTTCAGCAAAACATCACTTTGCCTGAGTGCCAGATTCTGTGGGTCCCTCTCCTGGGCCTGCCCCCCCCCCAAGATGGTCATAAGTGGCTGGTAGCTTATTTACTTGTGTTATCTGTGAGTGGCCATGGAAGGAAGGCCCCATCAGCTCTGGCCCATATGCCTGCCAATCATAGCTTTACCTGGAGCGAACAGATGGTCTCTTTGCTTAGACCCATTTCCTGGGCCCCCTGCCAACTTAGACCCTGCTTGGGAACTC